GCCTTGGATCCACCACAGCTGAAACAGGCTGCCCAAGACCAATGACCAATGAACCAGATAGCAGGATCCAGAACACCTGAACTAGCTGATCCTGTGACAAGATCAGGAGATGACAGCCCTGCTCTAGTCACTCCAGAAGCTGACTAGTTTACGCATGGCTGAAGCTTGAGGATCAACATAGAGTCACGAGGATCAACATAGAGTCACAACGACAGCATCAGTTTCTTATCCTCTTTGTTATAGTTCTCCCTTCCTTTTCACCCCTACTTGTGAAAAACATTCAGTTGGCCATAAAGACTCTGATATAGACAGGCACACCACCACTCAACTGATGGCCTTAATCAAGTACCAATCTCTGCTCAGTAGGTTGTACTGAGTACCCCTTTTGTGACAAAACATTAATAATAATGATGATGATGCTTTCTAGTAAAACCTGTTATAAGAACATCAAAGGGGAATGAAGCAGGACTTAAAGTAAAACAAACCTTGGGCAGCAGCTCCATCCCCTCCCCTCCTCTGTAGCTGTAACTCCTTGTTTTTGTCTCCTTTTTTTTTGTACTGGGGATTGAACTCAAGACCTTGTGCTTGCTAGGCAAGGTGCCACTGAGTTACATCCTTGGCTCCTATAACTTCTTGTTTTGTTACAGATAAGGTAAACAACAAGATTCTTGCTAACAGAATTCAGGGATGACCTGACTTCTCAGGAATTTGCCTTCTTTCAAGGCTGGCCCCCTGCCCCAGTACTAATAGGGCAGACAGTTACATTCCTGTAAATGAAATCTTTGCAACCTTTAAGGAACTGTATGTCCTCAAAAGATACAGATGAGATTGGCAACTATGTCTTCTAAACAAAGTTCATGATGCCCTGTTCTCACAAGATTCACAGGGAACAAAACTGTCATTGTGTGAGACATGACTAGCTTGCTTTTTATTTGTTTCTGTAACTTTGCTTGCCCGCCCCCTTTCGTGACACTAGAAAGACCACCCCCTTTTGATCAAATGTATAAAAGCTGGAACTCCTCTTTGTTCAATGCTCTTACTTTGGACAGGAGTCCATTGAGCTGGGGTACACCTTAAACTTTAAAATAAAATCCTCCTGACTCCCATTGGTCTGTCTTGTCCCTTAGAATTCTGCAACAACATCTTACTATCCCGGAGGCAAGGAGACAAGGAAGGAGCTGGGGAGTTTACCCTTCTAGGTCACACTAGTGACCTACCTCTAGCCAGGTCCCACCTCCTACCTACAAGTGAGCTGTAGCACCCTCAATAATCCACTCACCTTTCAAAAACCCCAGGCAATGAGGCTTTGGAGGACACTATATGTAAAGCATAACAGTTATCTATTTTATTCCACTGGTCTATGTGTCTTTTTTGTGCCATTACTATGCTCTCTTTGTTCCTATTGCTTTATAGTATGTTTTTGAATTAAAATTGTGATATCTCCAGCAATGATCTATTTGCTTAAGATTTAACTATGAGGGTTTGCTGAGATGAGAGATACCAAGTTCCTGATGCCAGAGGCTTGATAAAGACATAGGTCGAAAGCTGAACTACACAGACCTCACCTGAGACTCAGCTCTGAGCGGCCCTCCAGGCAGTCAGGCCTCAGTTACAGATATACTCACAGTGAAAATGTGCTGTGTGGAGCGCAGGGATCATGAACTTATTGTCCCCCATCCTCTGCTGCAACTGGGCTTTGAGGGTCTTGGGGTCCTCATTGTCTTCCATCACCAGATCAGCAAACTCAGCAGGCAACATCTAGCCCAAGAGTAGCATAGAGAGTCAGGTTAGGGGGGCTCCAGGGAAGGACGGGTGGATAGTATCTCAGGGTAAGGAGATGGGGCCTAGAGTGGGGCTGGGGTTATAAGAAATGGTCCAGCTCTGGGGTGACCTGACTCACATACACATAAAAGTTCACTCTTTGCTCCTGAAGACAGTTACATGGGCAGGAATCTGGGCATGCTATGTCCTTGGGGCAGGAACCTCACCATCTGTGTTGATGTGCTCTGCAGAACAGTCTGCATGGTCTTTCTGTTCGTCTCCTTCTGGGTGTCAGTAGAGTCCGGGAACTGGGTTCTGGAAGGATAGTATGAAGTTGAGTATGGCACCGGGTTGTACTGCCATAGTCCTGAGAACCACCTTGAACTGGTTGTCCTCCCAAACTACTGGGTCTCACTATGGAGATGCTCCAGCCATACTCATAGTTGTTGGCACCAGTAATGTTTGGGACAAGTTGAAAATCAGTAGAGACCAGCAGCTCCGGGTGATGTCTGGGCAGGAAATTCCCATCCATTTTACCAGCAATTGTAGCAGTGTATGACCATGGCAATATAGAGGATGAATGATGAAGTCTCATCTCAGAGATGAGACTTAGGTCAGTCACCAAGAGGCCCACAGGGGCTCTCTCAACTGAGAACACCCAGCTTTAGGGACTCCCAGGAGAAACCCTGAAGCCAGGGGCTCTCTAGCTTTTATTTAGACTATCAGTGTAAATGAAAAAAGCAGAAGAAAAACAGTTTGGGCAATGAGCTGTCTCAAGGCTAGGCAGTTTTTCTTGGGTAAAGAGGAAGGAAAATGGCCAGACACAACATGGTTCAATAATCTAAACTTCTTGTTGTATACCTATTCATTTCTCAGAGAACTTGAGTACTTTTGCTCCACAGTTTATTCACTCTTCACAGATCTTGTGTGTTTTTACCCTGTATTTTAACCATTGGTTTTTGTCCCACAGTTTAATCATTGGCCTTTGCTCTGCAGTTTAACCATTCACTCTTTGGCCAAGTTTCTCACAAGCAGTGATCTTGAAGGTCTAGGGGGGATTGAAGGTTTGACAGCAAGGTCAAATTTCAGATGTTTTCTGGTGCCCAGTGTGTTACTTCCACTCTTTTCTAACTCATCCTAGGATTCTCCAGAGATATCCCCCCTCCCTACCCCCATACACCTAGACTTAGCATATCTTGGCCCTCATTTCCCATGAAGGGCTGTGAGGACACCAAGCCATGGAGATGAGGGAATTAGTTCAAAGCAGTAGGAACTGTCCCTTCCATACACCAGGAGCCCCCTTTCTCCACACCTGAGAACATTCAGCCTGACCTTGGTAATAGCCGGCATTTCCTCTTCACCCTTATCCTGAAGGCATCTCACCTGGGCTTCTGAGTCTACTTTCTCATAGGCAGACAGGTTGGCCACCATCTGCAAATGGATTGGCAAAGGGCTGGCTCATCCTCTCAGCCAGAGAAAGGTGTGTGCCCAAGGCTCAGGTTGGTTGCAAATGACCCCCACATTTCCCAGGTTACCCTGTGTGGATTGCGGCAGATGTGAAATTGTTCCATTTTCCTTTTGCCAGAGGTCTCAGCTAGAGGGTCCATCCCACCTGTTGACATGGTTCAGCCTATGATGGGTGACCCAGCGTACAGCTTTGCCAGTCACAGAGTAGATTCAGCCTTTGTGAAGCGGAGGTGTGTGGATTCTGACCTTTGAGGACCTCAATAATTCCCAGGAAGGCTGTTGTTTCCAAGGCACTTTGACTGCCTGTTGTCCCCGCTGAACACACAGGACCAGGGGCTCTTAGGGTGAGGAATGTGGGGAGAGGGAGGCAGCTTTGGCTGGTGTGGTTGAGGGCACTCACTGTGGAGATGGCCTCAGATGGCCTCCAGATGAGGATGGGCAGCAGAACCACCCCACTCTTTATGATGGCACCATGGAGGAGTCCTCAGGACATGGGAGACATGACATGTGAGGACACGCTTGTGTCACCTGCAGATGCTCCAAAAATGGTGACATGATCACGGTTGCCTCCAAAGTGAAGATATTCTGTTGCACCCAGCATAAGGTAGCCACTTGGTCCAAGTAGTCCCAGTTGCCTGGGGTGTGCTTGTTTTTCGTGGTGAGAAGTATCAGGGACAAAGTTCACAGGCCTGTCTTGGCTCTGCTCAGTCCCCATTTCTCAGCCCAGCCCCAGGCTTACTAGAAGAAGGACACCCAGTACACCCAGGACACCCAGGCAGTACTAAATAGTGACCACCACCCTGTGTGGATCTGTCATACAAGGAAGCCATGCCTACAACCAGTACACCACCATGGATCTATACAATTACCTGGAAAAACCAAGACAGATGCCACATGGGTCTCATCCAGCCCACACCTGGTGGTCTACTCATACACTATCCATTGCTTTGGCTCAGTGTAGCTGAGCATAGACAGAAGTCTCTCTCTCAATCCCCTGTACATCCAGGCACAGGCCACAGGCAAGGGTGCTAGGATGGAGCTCAGATTTCCAGGGAGGTTTCAAGGTTGATGAGGTTCTTGGAGTCTTACTTCTCCTGAGGCTGGGAAATAGTGACTATTATGTGTCTCTATTGGAACCATTGGATATAGGTGTTGACATTCATTGTTTATCTCTACAACCATCTGGTTCTGGAACAGGGGAGGAGCCCGACACAGGTGTTGCCCATGGGAATAGAGGTTAGTTTCCCAAAGAAGAGTAGTGGGGTGTACTCCATCCCAAGACTAGACTGTTAGGGAAACTCATCTCTCCCACAGAGTCTCCACTTGTAACAATATAGAATTGTACCTTGGATAGTGGCACCTGGCCTGATCAGCTGACACACTCTGCCTGAAGGATGGGGTCTCCAAGAAGCTACCACTTCTGTCTTCAGGCATCTTCAGTACCTGATGCTGGCGTCAGAATTTCTTATAGGTTCATAGAGCCAACCATAACCTCTCCTGAGACACCCCCCACCTCGTGGCAGAGAATACTTGTCATAATGCAAATCTGAGAACAAATGTGTCTCTATTCCTCTCTTTAGGACCAAGAGCCAGTGCTCTCTGGGAGCCAAGCCCGGTCCCAAGCCCAGAGCCAGGTCTCACTGTGAGAATCCCTCCAATGCAGAGCAGAATTGGCTGTGGGGTTTAGATGGCAGAACCACTGTAGCCTGGCCCAGAGCTCAGAGCACCTAAACCCTCCCCAGGGACTGAATTTCCCTAACTTCTCAGAGAGCTTACTTGGCAGAGTGAGGCGTTCCATCTCGAACACCACTCCAGGATTCAGGGGCCTCAGGCAATGCAAACTGCAGTGGTCCTAAAGGTGGCTTGGTAAAGGGAATTCCCAGAAAGATGTATACCCCCACACTGGTGCTATTCATGTGGATGAAGCTGCTGTGCACTCGGTTGGGATGGGGCTGGCAAAGTCCTGGGCTGTGGGCAGAGAGATACACATCAGGGCTGGGTCTTTCGAGTCAGCTGCCTCCCACTCTATGGAGGTTGCCAGCTCCTTGTCATGCTCAACAAGCATTGTCAAGGGATCCTGATCTGCAAACACTGGCTTGACACACTCTCCCACTGTCCCATGACTGGTGTCCCTGGTCATAGCCCCAGCTTATCCAACCAGGCCCTCTCAGGCTCCTTGTGGCTTGGAACTAATATTCAGCTCTAGGAGCTCAAGCAAAGTGCCTCACATGCTGATGGGACAGGAATGGCCCTTTGCACTAACCCCACCATGACTGTGAAGTCCTGGGAGGACTGTGGAAATTGACTGAAATATCTCTGATCCTCAGGGATCTCACACCCAAGTTGGCATGACAAAGAAAGCATCCTCCATGCAATGAGTATAACCCAACTAAAAGAACTCTGGTCTCCACTGTGACTCAGGGCAGGGAGAAAGGAAGCACTTGATTGTCACTAAAAGGCACAGATAAAATTAGGTTGTCCAAGTACTCATAGTTGTTGAAAATGGATGATGGGCACCTTGTGTTTATTAACTCTTCTCTCTACCACATAATGGGCTCAGACCTGGGTGCTGTGCTCCTCTTGATCAGCCCTGATTCTCTCTGTGCCTCTGGGTGCAGAAAGGTGTCCAGTTAGGGCCACTGTTCCCCTGCTGCTGTCTCTCCACCAGCTAACATCTCCCTGGCACCACCCTCCTGTTGTCTCAGGTCCTTCCTCTGTAGAATGTCACAGAAAGGCCCAGATTCCATAAAAAAGTTAAACACTCCAAACATCCTGGGGGAGCTAATGCTCCCCTCCCCTACCCCATCCATTTGCAGCAGCATGTCTGATGACACCTGGTGCTACTGAGGCCAGAGAGGCAGCCACTCAGAGGCACCAGACAGGGCAGTCTAAAGACATTTTTTCCAAGTCCAAACATGCACTCCTATTTCTCTTAAAGTGCTACCTATGTAGGATCCCTTTCCAGATGACATCTTTGTCCATGTAATTCACTATGACACTGATGCCTATTGCTTGTTATACCACAGGACAAAGCCTGCTGCAATGTTCCTGGTAGGAGGCAGATACATCCTCAGCAGGAAGTTGTCATGTAGTGGTGTGAGGTGTCCCCGTATCAGGAGGTAGAAAGCCCAGGATCAGAAAAGGTTGAGTTTGTGGCCATTTAGGTGAAAACCAAGGGTGGATACACAGCACGTGAGGCCTGTGGCCTTGATGGTCCCTTTGGAAAAGCCAGGTCTAGGTGGGACTACTCTGCCCTCTCATGGCTCCTCAGTGATCCTGAACATAAAGCTATTTAAGACTACATTTTGAACTTGATGTGGTGGAAGTTGGATGTCTCATACATTTACTCAAATTCCCCAAACTATGCCATTAAGACAGGTGAGCTTAATTATATAATTATTTCACAATAAAAATTTTAAGATAAAACTAATAAAATCTAAGAAATATTCAGGAAACCACTTTAAGGGAGTGTCCTGTGCACCCAAAGAACTGAAAACTACACAGAGGCATGTTTGCAGCAGGAGTTCAATGAAGATTTCAGGACACAGTGGAAGTAATACGGGCCGGTCAGGGCTCACTGAAAGGAAGGTCTCTACTCTCTTACAAGTGCCTCACCCAAGGCTAAATGTTATCCTTGTCTGCCCTCTGGTGTCCACAGTGGGTATCGAGGGCATCTTTATATTTAGATCAAATTCAGAATACCCTGTGCTAATTTAGCTTACATGCAATGAACAAGGAGGAGGGAGACTTTCTTCCTGGTGAAACTGTTTCCCAGGAAGGGCCAGTGGTTCAGAGGTAGGGGAATTATAAAAGTAAGGGTCACAGGATTGGGATAGAAATAAAGCCTTTTAGTGACACACAGAAAATACTTTGGGTGAACAAATAGGCAGATTGACCACAGTATGAAACCTTTGTATAAGGAGACAAAATTCATAACAGGTTTTTATTGGAGAAGCCAAAAGAGTTTAGGGACAACAATGAGTTAAAAAGAAAAATTCATCACGTGATGACAAAGAAGGGTGGGTGCTCATCAGGGATTCAGGAGAATGCAAGGGGAATTGTGAAAAGCAGGAAGACAACTCCTTGAAATAAAAAATTCTCAGGGAGATAGGGGACGGACTCTCTTCTGCTAGATATACGGAGATCTTCTAAACCCCAATCCTACTTCTAAGAACTATTGCGTAGATCAACCTCTTTGCAGATCTGCAATGATTATGTAGTAAGCCCCTCACAGTGTGCTGACCCAATGAGAATGAGAGCAATTTTGAGGACAAAGGGTACTGAGGATCTGTCTATCTTTCCTGGACAGTCCCAACTCGTCAGGCAGCGTCTCTTTCCAGAATTTCAGCCTATGGGCCTTTAGGGCGCGGTTCACAGAAAGATGGATGTCCAGCTGTAGATACTTCTCTTCATGGCCCAGTGTAGGCCATGGAAGCAGGTCCTCACCACTGGGGTTCCTGTGGACACACCCTCCCAGCAGGGGGCAAGGGCAGTCTGAGACTGGCACAGCTCAGACCTCAGCAACTTGATTTTGGTCAAACTAGGTAGTTAAGGGGCCGCAGGATTATTGATGAGGATGAGTCCAGGTATAGGAAATCAAGTATAGGAAATCCTGCTAGTGTCCCCTTCTTGTGAGCAGATCACCTGGACCTGTTTCCTCCCTCCCTCTCGGAGGCAGGCTGTGACTGAATCACAGCATGTGCCCCATGCTCCAAGTCAGTGAGAAAGAGATAAGTGACTTGGATTGACAAGTCATCTCTCTGTTCTTGTCCATATTGGTCCTGGAGTTGGGAGGCTGTTATCATGTGATTAAAGACACATGTGTACTAATGAGGTCTCCACAGATGAGAGGAGAGCCTGAGAGGTTCAAATCCCCTGGGATGGTTGTGGTAGGGGCATCCCCTTACCTATTTCGAGCAAAGTTGGCCCAATACTTCATCACCCTTCTGCTCAGCAGCTCTTCCCTCTCAGTGAAGATAACTGCAGAGAGGAAGAGCACAAGGGTCCAGGTCCTTGCTGACCCTCATCCTGCTGCCCTTCATGCACCACACTCACCATGCAGGAGCATCCTAACCCTGGACTGCTGGCCTTGACCCCTCTTCCCTCACATATCCTCGAGGCAGGCCCTCCCCTTGCCCAACCTGTCCTTCCTCCTCTCAGCTTCTACTGAATTGATCCTGGGGTCGTTCCTGTCCTACAAGTCCTCTTCTTCCTTCTGACATTGAGAAGTCTTTCAAGAAACAAATATGCCTTTGAGTTACCCCCACTGTGTGTCATGATGGACACCATGGTTGGTGTGGGGACAGTTGGAGGAAAGAACACAAGTTGGAGTGGAAGCATTTAGATTCTAATCCCACCATACCCTTGTGAGTTCTGAGATCGTGGGCAGTGATCCCATCTCTTCTCTTAGCCCCAGCTTCCTCATCTGGACAGTGAGGGCAGTCAGTCTTCAGGGACCCAGCTACAGCCCTCGAACTGTTCACGGATTTCGGGGAAGACTCACCTGGGAGGCCAAACCAGAAAGATCCAAAGACAAAGGAAATCTCATCGCCATGGTCAGCCTTCACATCAGGTGGCCTGAGGATTTTCAGGAAGGTGGGAGGATGCTGGAACTCATAGAAGTAGACCGGGCTGTGGGAACCTGGGAACATGGATAGGATATGTGGTGACTTAGGGCCCATTACCTGGAGCTCTCCTGCTTTATCCCTAGTGACCAGACACCTAGGTCCAAAGCTGGCTGAAATCTTCACAGAAGGGTAGGAAACCCAGGGCTGGAGCAGGAATAGTGGGAAGGGCCTTGAGTAACTCATGACCTTGAACTTCTCAGCTGAGTAGTTTGGGCAGGGCCCCGGTGTCACTCTCAATTTCCTCACCTGTACAATGAGGGAGATGGCTGTCTTTTACACTAGCTGTAAGGATTTTATTTTATTAGTGTGTATTTGTCCTACAGACTAGAGGGTTTAATTCTGGCATTTTCATACATATGCAAAACATACATTGATCATTTCCCTCCAAGATTTCCTTTCCAGTTCCCTGATTCCCTTCCTCTTTTCTACTATTCTCCCTTGTACTTTTGGTTCTCTCTCTCACTCTCTCTCTCTCTCTCTCTCTCTCTCTCTCTCTCTCTTTTAAAAAATCTTTCTTTTTGGATTTTTGAGACAGGATCTTGCTATGTAGTTCAGGCCTTATCTACCTACATAGCCCAGGCTGGCCAGGATCTCGAGGTGATCCTTCTGTCTGGGCCTCCCAAGTGATTAGATTACAGGCTTGAGCCACCATGCCTGGTTTTATTTTTATTTTTTTCCCCTCAAATTTTGATATGAGGGGAAACACGCAATATTTGATTTTTTGAGTCTGTCTTATTAAAATGATGTTGTGGCTTGTGTCTAGATGTCCTCCCAAATCCTCATGCAGTCTTTTTCGAAGGTGGCTAAGTCTAGAATGTGTGATGCTAGGATTAAGGGTGTGTGATTACCAACCACTACACATATGTGATTGGTTTGGCACTGTAGTCTGAATAAAATAAAAGGAGCAGAAAGACACTGTTAAGGTCTCTTGTTGCTTTTGCTACCTTGTAGGTGCCATGAACAGTTTCTTCTCTGGGATACCTGTTTGCCAACCCTGCCTTGGAGCCAGCCAATCATGATGGACTGAAACCTCTACGAACTGTAAGTTAAATAAACCCTTTACCCTCTAACTTTGGGTGTTGGGTATTTTGTCTCAGGAATGAGAGAAAAGTAACTAACAGAATTGATAATCTGTATTTCTATATATTTTCATGCAAATAAACTGAATTCTTTCCAAGTTTTGGCTGAATAACAGCCTATTGTGTATTTGTGCCACACTTTATCTACTTTTTGTTGATGGGTACCTAGACCATTTTCATGGCTTAGCTGTTGTGAAATCCACTGTAATGAACATGGGTATACTGCTATCTCTATAGTTCGTGATGTGATTGGAAAATATGGTGAAGTTAAAATTTCAGAGTTTATTACAGAAAAAACACATTGCCATTAATCCCTGTCAAAACAATCCCCTTTGATATGAATACGTTTATTCCATCATTCTTGGTAATGTCACTGTTACTGTTATTTTTGTGCCGGGGACCAAACTCAGGATCTCATGCTTGCCAGGCCGGTGCTGTGCCGCTGAGCTAAGTCCCTGGCCCTAAATCCCCAAGGTGTTTTTATTTTGGTACCGGGATCCAGCTCAGGACCCTGAGCTTTCCAGGCAGGTGTGGCACCTGGCCTACATTCCTGGCCCTGCTGTATCATATTTTAAAAAATTTAAACATGTACTCTTTCTCTCTCTCTTTCTTTCTCTCTTTCTTTCTTTTTTCTTTTTCTTTCTTTTTCTCCTTTAATTCTTTTTTGGTACATTTTAGGTATACAATACGTTTACATTTATCATTGAGTACCTGTACATGATGTATCTTGGTTCTTATTTTTTCCCCCATTCTCTGTCCTCCCTTCAACCCCCTCCACCCTTCCCTATTTACAAAGACTTTGTTTCCATTTTTTTTCTTTTCTCATAATTTTTCCTTTCCCTTCTTTCCTTTCCCCTTCCCCTCCCACCACCCCTACCTCGTTGGACCTTTTCCTATTTCAAAGAATCAATTATTTGTTATTAATCCTTTTAATCCTTATTTACACTTTCAGTTTCTCACACTAGAGAAACTATTTGGTATTTATACATGTGTGTCCTATTTATTTCACTTAAGAGTATGGCCTCAATGTGCATCCATTTACCTATATATGACTCTAGTTTCTTGTTCTTTACGGCTGAGTAGTATTCCATTTTATTAAAAAACCCACATCTTTATCCAGTTTCCAGTTGATGGGCACTTGGGCCGTTTCCAAGCTTTAGCTATTACAAACTGTGCCACTATAAACATGGGTGCACATATATCGCTGTGCATGTACCCTTCTTTCTATTACCCCTCATATGCTGACTTTAACTCCTTTGTGTATTTACCAAGGATTAGTGCAGGTAGGTCAAGTGGTAGCTCTATTTCAGTTTTTGGAGAAACATCCATATTGATTTCCATAGTGGCTGTACTAATGTACATCCGCCAATAATGTAGAGGATTCCTGCCCCCCCCACCCTCCTGCATCCTCATCAGCTTTTAGTGTATTTCTTCTCTCAATCTAGGCTGCCATGCATATGGAGTTAGTGTCAACCCCCACACTTTACTTGCAGCCTGCGATGACCATGGTCCTTTCCTGGGCTAGCATTGCTGGTCCATTGTTTCTCCCTGGGGCTGCTGGCCCCTTCCCACGCTTACCTTCTGTTTGGAGAGTCAAGTTGACTTCCCCTGGAGCTCCAGTTAGAATTCCAGACTGCTTTATTCTTTCCCCTGCATTGTATTCAGTTTCACAGTGACTTAGCTTTCCTGTGTGCTCTTTCTTGATCCCTGGAGCTCTTCTTCACTTTGCTAAGTTGTTCTTTTCCAGGTATGTTGATTCCAGGTCCAGGAGAGCCTGTGATTTTCTGTTGTCTTCTAATCCTCAGTCTTAATCCTTAGACATCAATTCACTTACTGATGTCAAAGATTTCCTCCTTGTTCAAACTTTAGCTAGGCTACTATGAGCCCTCATCCAGCCTAGGCCTCAGCCTCTGACTCCAACCTTGTCAAACCAACATAAGCCAGTGTATGTATGATGTATGTATGTATGTATGTATGTATGTCATCTAGCTATCATCTATGTATCTTTCTATTTTGGTATACTGAGAATTGAAACCAAAGCCTTAACTTTGAACTGCAGCCCAGGCCTTCTTTAAAATCTTTAGTTTGAGATAAGGTCTTGCCCAAGCTGGGGTTGAGCTTCCAATCCTTCTGCCTCAGTCTCCCAGGGTACTGGGATTACAGGCATGTGTCACCATAGCTGGCTGATGGCAACCATTCCTACTAGGGTGAAATAGAATTGAACTGGTAGCTTGATTTGCATTTACTTGATGGCTAAAAATGTTGAATGTTTTTCGTAAACTTATTGATAATTTGTATTTCTTCCTTTTTAAAATTGATTTTTGGAGATACAATCTCGACATGTAGGTCAGACTGTCCTCAAACTAACTTGCTATGTAGCCTCCTGAGTGCTGAGATTACAGGTGTGCACTGCCACACATTGGTTGTACTTCTTCTTTTGAGAAGTGTCTCTCAATTAGTTTGTGTTAAATGTTTTGATCTCCCTTATATTCTGAATATTAATCCTCTGTTGGAAGAATATACTGCAATGACTGTCTCTCATTTATAGGCTATCCCTTCAATCTGTTGATTATTACCTTTGCTGTGCAGAAGCTTTTGAATTTCATATAGTTACATTTGCTGATTCTTGCTTTTATTTGCTGTGCTATTGGAGTCCTATTCAGGAACTTATGGCCTTTGATTGTTTTCCTCTAGAGGTTTCAAAATTTCAGACCTTAAACCTAAGTCTTCGATCCATTTTGAAAGAGAGATAAGGGTCTGGTTTCAATCATCTGCTTGTGGCTACTCAGCTTTCTCAGGAGATTTGCTATAGAGGCTGTCTTTTCCACAATGTAGGCTTTTGACTCCTTTCTCAAAAAGCAGGTGGATATAGTTGTATGGGCTTGTTTCTGTGTCTTTTATTTGATTCTACTGGTCTATGTATCTATTTTTATGCCAGTACTATGTGTTTTTGTTACTATGGCTGTGTAATATATTTTGAAATAGAAAAATATGATACTTCCAGCATTATTCTTTTTGCTCAGATTTAACTATGAAGATTTACTAAGATGAAGGACATCAACTGCCTGGTACCAACAGCTTGATAAACACATGGGACCAGACCTGGACTCCATGGACCTCACCTGGGATCGACAGCTCTGAGCTACCTCCTAGGTAGTCAGGCTTCAGTGACAGATGTACTCACATTGACAATATGCCACTTGGAGTGTAGGGATCACGAACAGGAAGTCTCCCAACATCTCATGGAACTGGACTATCAGGGTCTTGGGGTCCTCATTGTCTCCCATGTACTCTTCCATCACCAGGTCAGCAAACTTAGCAGGCAACTTCTAGCCCAGGAGGAGCATGGAGAGTCAGGTTAGGTGGGCTCCAGGGCAGGGGGATGGGCAACAGCTCAGGATGAGAAAATGGGGCCTGAAATGGGACTGGGCTTGTAAGAAATGGTCAAGCTCTGGGGTAATCCTACCTGCAGACACATAAATACTGTAGTTCAGCCTCTGTGGGTGTGGTTATATGGAGGGGAAAGTGGGGTGTCATGTTCATTGCAGCAGGAGCCCAGGAGACTTACCATCTGCACTGACAGGTTCTGCAGAGCAGCATGTATGGTCTTTCTGTCGATTTCCTTCTGAGGGAAGCCCAGGGCCTGGGTGTTGGAGGGATGAAGTATAAAGCTGAATGAAGGACAGGCCTGTATCAGTGTAGTCCTAAGAATCCCTCGAGCCTAGTGGCACTTCCCAATCTGCTGAGGCTCACCTTGGGGATGGCCCAGCCACACTCATCATTGTTGACACCCATGATGCTGGGCACAGGTTGAAAATCAGCAGAGGCCAGCAGCTCCTGGGGAAGTCTTGGCAGGAAAACTCCGTCCACTACAGCAGGAATGCTCATGAAGGTCTGATGGGGTATTCAGGGTCAAGGAGTAAGGTCAGGTCTCATATATTTTCTCATGCCCAGTGAGTTACTTCCACTCTTTTCTATGCATCCCAGGATGCTCACATCCACCCTAAGATACCCCCTCCCACTAGGCACAGCTTATCTAGGCTTTCATTTCCCATCCAGAGATGTGAGGACACCAAGACATGGAGAGGAAGTAATTAGTCCAGGGCAGTAGGGACTGTCTTTCTCACACACCATCAGCCCTCTTCCTCCACACCCAAGAACATTCAGCCTGACCTTGGTAATAGCCAGCATTTCATTTTCACTCTTGCCTCGAAGGCACCTCACCAGGGCTTCTGAGTCTACCTGCCCACAGCCAGACAGGTTGGCCACCTTCTGTAAATGAATTGGAGAGGGCTGGCTCATTCTCTCAGACAGGGAAAGGAGTGTGCCCAAGGAACGTGCTGAGTCCGAATGACCCCCAAATTTCCCAGGATACCCAGTGTGAATTGCTTCGAGCGTGAAATTGTTCCAACTTCCCTATCGCCAGAGGTCCCAGACAGATGGGCCATTCTACCTGCTTATTTGGTTTTTGACAGTGAGGCAAATGTGCCTTTGTGAGATTTTGTGGATTCTGAACCTCAGGACCTCAGCCATTCCTAGGAAGGAAGTTCCTAGGAAGCAGTTCATAAGGGACCTCAGCTGCCCTGTTGTCCCCACTGAAAAGATAGAACCACAGAGGCTTCGAAGGTGAGAGGAGAGGGAGGTGCCCTGGGCTAGGGTGGGTGAGGTGACTCACCATGTAGACATCCTCAGACGAGTTGGAGATGATGCCGGGTACCACAGCTGCCCCGCTTTCCATGATGGCACCATGGAAGAGTCCTCGGGACATGGGGGACACAACAAGGGAGGACACGCTTATTGCACCAGCAGACTGTCCAAAAATGGTGACACGGTCAGGGTTGCCTCCAAAGTGTGCAATATTCTGTTGAACCCAGTGAAGGGCAGCCACTTGGTCCAGGTAGCCCCAGTTGCCAGGTGCATGCTGGTCTCCAGTGCTAGAGGTAGCAGGGACAGGGATTATGGGCTGCTCTGGGGTATGCTCCATCCACATTTCCCACCCCAGCCCCAGACTCACCTGAAGAAGCCCAGGACACCCAAGCGGTACTGGATGGGGACCACTACCACGTTCTCAGAAGCTGCCAGAATGGATCCATCAGTCACAGAAGCTAGCCCTGAAACTAATGAACCACCATGGATCCATACCATCACCTAGGGAAATCAAGACATGCCACATGGGTTTCACTCAGCTCACACCCAGCTACACATAGACTATCCATTACTTGACTTTGTGCAACTACTCACATAGACAGAAGTCAAGTTGGACCTCATCATCTGGGCAAAAGATAATGGTTCCAACTTCAATTCAGTCAACCAGGACTCTCAGTGTTTACCACGAAGACATCCCTGGCTCTATTATTCCCAGACCCCTCCAAAATGGCAGGAAAGAGGTTTTTTCCTCTGACTGTGCCACTTGAATATTAATCAAAAGTATTATCTATTTTCATTGGCACAACACATAAACCATGTTTGAAGTCTTGGATATCTCAAGCTACAGCTCTTGGTTGCCCCAAGTGGTTCTCTTGGGTATAGATCTCTGATCTCTGGCGATAGATAGAGGGCCATGACCAAATACCAGGAGTCAGTTATCCACCCTGGCTGAGAAGGCTTTCTTAGAATCCATAGGGAGAGGCTTCTCAACAGGGTCTACACTGTGGCAGGGCCCAGGTTTGTGTGTGTGTGTGTGTGTGTGTGTGTGTGTGTGTGTGTATGTGTGTGTTGTACAGACTTATACTTAGAGCCCTGCACTTACTAGGTAAGTGATCTATCACTGAGCCACATCCCCAGCCCACTTCCTGTCTTCGAGAAGAAATATCTTCCCATCCCCCAGTTGACCATAGTCTGACACTCACAGGCAGTTTAGAGCCCTCATGAGCATGGGCAGGTGTATAGATGTTCAGGTACAAGCAGTCCTCAGACATGGGGATGTGAGGCATGGTCACATTTAGCAGCATCCAAACGTGTGCATTCCTTGTACCAGTCTTTTGCAGACACCTGGTGATAATGCTAATTAGTTCAGGGGCTGTGAAGTGGTCAAAACCAGACTCTGGGCCCTGACTTGGTTCCAACCACCCTCAGTGTCCTGCTGCCCCCCAATGCCCTGCTCACACATAATCCTTCTCTCAAGTTCCTGTTCATCAATGCACAGGCCACAGACTCAGGGGAACCTGGAATGGTGCTTAGATTTCAAGGGAGGCCTCAAATTTGATGAGGGTCTTGAATCCAGCTCTACATAAGGCTGGGAAATTGTGACTCTTAGGTATCTATATGGGAGCCATTGGCTACAGATGTTGAGATTCACCTTTTTTTTTTTTTTTGTACTGGGGATCAAAATTGGGACCTTCCACTTGCAAGGCAGGCGCCAGAACAACTGACCTAAATCCCTGGCCCTGACATTCACCTTTAATGTCTGTATTTATTTGGTTCTGGAACAGGGGTGGAGCCCACACACAGGTCCTACAAGTGGGAATGGAGTTTAGCTTCTCAAAGATAACTGTGGGACATACTCCATAGAAAGATTGCACTGTTAGGGAAACTCATCCCACCCACAGAACCTCCACTTGTAGCAACATAGGCTTGTTCCTTGCACAATGGCATCTGGCCCTATCAGTAGGCATAATGAGTGTGGAGGGTGGGGACTCAAAGAGCCACCATTGCTGACCTTCTCAGGCATCTGCAGTGTTTCTTAAATGTGCACAGGCTAGGGCCAGGGATTTAGCTCAGTGGTGCTGTGCCTGCCTCGCAAGTGCAAGGTCCTGAGTTCTATCCTCAGTATTGGGAAAAAAAAAAAAAGTGCACAGACCAGGTGTGGTGATGCATGCCTGTAATCCCAGCAGTTGGGAGGCTGAGGCAGGAGGATTGGTGCCAGTTCAAGGCCAGCCTGGGCTACATAGCCAGACCCTGTCTCAAAAAAGAAGATTTGCATGGAATTGTGCATCAATTGGAGCCTCTCTCAGAATCACATCCCCTAGTGGCAGAAAATACTTGGGATTCCATAAATCCAGAGAAATGTGTGTCTGCTCCATTGTTCAGGAACTGGGGCTAATGCCCTTAGGCTCCCAAATTCTGAGCCAAGACCTGTCAACATTTCTTCACTCTCTGCAGCCTCACATACTCACTGTGGGAATCCTCCCACAGAGAAAAACTGACTGTGGAATTTAGACGAAAGAACCACTGCAGCCTGGTCCAGAACCCAGAGCACCTGAACCCTCCCCAGGGTCTGTTTTCCCAGGTCCTCGGAGAACTTACTTGGCTGGGTAGGAGGTCGCATCTCTCACACCACTCCAAGGCAGAGGTGCCTCAGGGGCTGCAAACCGCAGCAGCCCTACAGGTGGCTTGGCAAAGGGAATTCCCAGGAAGGTGTGGACCCCCACGACAGTACCCTTCACATGGATGAGCCTGCCCCGCACTGGGCCTGTGTGTGTGGTCCGAATGGGGCTGGCAGAGTCCTGGGCTGTGAGCAGAGAGATGCATATCAGGATTGGGTCTTTCCAGTCCGCTATCTTCACACTGGGTGTTGCCACCACTTTTCATCATGCATTTCAAGGGACCCTGATCTGAAAATTCTGGATTTGTACCTGCGTTGGCTGTCAGGGGGAGCCCTGAGCTCCACGGTCATCACTGGGCCTATCCCAATCCTATTCCACCAGGCCCACTCAGGTTCCTTGGGACTTGGTAAATCTGTCACCTAAAGAGTCTCATGAGGTGACAGGAAAGAATGTCCTTCACATCAACCTTGCCAGATGCTGGGAGGTGATGGGAGGATGGTGGGAATGGACTAAAAAGTCTCCCATCCTCAGGGATTTCACAGTTGAGGTGGAATGACATATAGAAAGCATCCTACATGAAAGCATCCTGTAGAAAGCAGTGAGTGACATGGTGAGGAGAGGTATGAGAGAGACATGCAACTGTGTTCAAACCATAACCCTGGCCTATGTCTGACTGGAGTCAGCAAGGGAAGAAACATTTGACTGACACCTAATAGTCCAGATAAAATTACTCTGTCCAAATCCTGCTTGAAATTGAATGATGGGCACATTGTGTTGGATATCTTTCCTCTCTGTCACAGGTCAGGCCCACTACAGGGTGCTGTGCACCCTGTCAGTCCTGATCTCTGTGCCTCAGGCTGCAAGGCCCATGGTTTCCTTGCCCTTGTTCTCTCCACCAGATGGCTCCTCACTTGTACCTCCCTCCTGCTGTCTGAGGTTCTTTCTCTGTACAGTGTAGCAGACCCGGGCCAGGTTCCATAAGAAAAAGTTAAACAGCCCAAAACATCCTGCAGAGCTAGTGCTCCCCTCCCCCACCAGGTCCACATGGATCAGCATGTCCATGATACCTGGTGCAGGTGAGGGCAGGGCAGCAGCCACTCACAGACTCCAGACAGGGCAACCTACCAACATCTTTCCAAGTCCAAATGTGTACTCTGCTCGCTGGTAATGTGCTCCCTACAACAAGATGCCTTGCCAGCTGACATCTCTGTCTGTGTAATTCACTGTGACCATCAGACACTGATACCTGATGCTTGTTACAGCACAGGACAAAGTCTGCTGCGATGTGCCTGCTGGGAGACCGGGTATGTGCACAATCCTTGAAGAAGAAGCTCTGTCACAGTGGTGTGAACTGTGCCCCATGTCATTAGGGAGAAAGCTCAGGATCAGAAATTGCTGAGTTTGCGACCATTTAGATGAAAACCAAGGATGTGTGCACACATCTAGTCTTAGGTACAGTTGTGGGCATGGGGTGTAAGACCCTGTTAGCTAGATAGTCCCTTTGGAGAAGCCAGGTGTAGGTGGACAGAAGAGGATGGGTCAGAACTCTGTGCCTTCTGATGGCTCCTCAATGATCCTGAACATAAATTCAAGCCAAAGACTGTTTAAACAGGAGCCATGAGTAATGTGGGGCAATCTTTCTGCCTGGAAGTCCTGGTGCCCTCAAAGAGCCTGGTCAATAGCAGGTAAGGAAAGAAGTCTGGCAGTGTGGACCACAGACTTAAGGTGAGTGGGGTAGATTGGATTGCAGAAGGATGTGGGAACTTTTGAGATTCCACACTAGGAGTTTGAGGTGAGGGATTAAAGGCTGCAGATGCACACTGCATGGGGAACCCTCCTGGCATCAGCTCCTGATAAGGGCTTGAGAGAGCCTGGCATGCCCAGAGCACCTTCACTGTGCCTTGTAAGCCAAGCCATGCCTTTGCCCTTGGAGGGGAACATGGAGTAAAAGGTCCCAGTGGCCTCTCAGTTTAGCTTTCAGATGTCAGATGTGGTACTCAGAGGCTTCTGTGTCCCCCAGAGCCATTAACCTTGCCTGGGACATTTTTGGAGGGGTTTCTCTGGCAAAGGGTGTGTCACCCTCCAAGAAAAATAGCAGCATTAAGCTCTTAGTGTTGTTCCTACACCTGAGGTCAGAAGCATCTATCCACAGCCACACATACAGGAGGGAAATGTTTGGAATCCTCCTCTGCCAGGAGGCTGCTGACCTGCCCATGCAGTGCTCCCTAGATCTCTCATAGTGGATGTCCTCCTTAGTGTTGGTTCCTCAGCACGCTGGACCTTCTCTGTGCTTCAGATGCCAAGCTTGAGCTCTGGGTTAGTGGGGTTGAGTGGGCCCACATTTCCCACTCTGTCATTTGTCCACCAGCTACTCCCTCACAGATGGTTCTCTGCTCCCTGTGACCATTCTTCCACAGCCTGAGGTTCTGCCTCTGCATGATATGGCAGAAGTAACCCTGATCCCATGGTCCCCGGAGGAATCTCACCATGGCAACAGAAGAAGAACAGCAAAAGCTCACAGGTCACTGTGTTGAGTCGAGCAAGAAGTTGAACCAGCTGCATTGTGGAGTCACAGGCCTCTTTCTGAGCTGCATCAAGTTGCACTGACAGAAAACTGAGGATAGGATCTTGGCCACACTGGTGTTTCAATCAGCAAGGAGTAGGTGGGACACCAAGTAGGCAGAGTCAGGTAGGTGTGGCAGGAGAGTGTCACATGGACAGCAGGAACATGCAGTGCCAGCCCAACCTGACTTCTGGAGGAAGTGATACAGATTGAACCTCAGGCAACCACTAGTGCCCACTGACAACCAGTCTTGGACTCCTCATATAGCCTCCAACAAGCTCAGGCTGCCACATCCCTGTGTCCTAAGCATCACTTCTGGGCCTTTTGCAGAAGTGACCATATTCAGAAACACTTGCAGTAGCTGGGAACTGGAATTCTGGAACTCAACCCAATCAGCAAGCCTTGTGCTTGATTCATTGTCTTCCATCCAGTTCCTTCTAGTCCAAGACTTGGTCCCAGACCCTACTTAGGCAGATGCTCTCTATGCCTTACTTAAGGCAATTTGAGGGCTGGCCTTGGGAGCTGAGAGATTCCTGGCTCCTCTCAGGTCAGGGTTGTGTTATAAACTGTCTGTTAACAGGACAGCACAGTGCTTCTTCCTAATCAGGGCTGCTGTCCACCAGGGATCGAGTGAAGTTTCCCACATACTCTTCCTCTACTGAACCATTTTACTGAAACCTTGACACTTATGATGGTTAAAATAACAGTAAAAGTGTTGATGACTGAAAAAGAATCTCAGGAGCAGTTCTGTGTGTGCAGTGATGGGTGTTTTGAAAATTTTCATATATAGTGATCCAGAAAAAGAGAGACAGATAGTGAGACAAATTGAGAATGATGCAAGCAGCAGGTAAAAATGCAGGGATACATCAGCAACGAGATACCACTGGACATTCACTCAATAGAATCAGACTTAAGACCCATTCATACAAGGGTTAGTGAGGAGGAAGAGCAATTGGCCCCCTCATGTATGGCTGGCAGGGAAGCAAAATGATGCAGTCATTGTGGAAGAGACTTTGGTATATTCTTTAAAAGATAAAGATACAATCATCATATCACTCAGCAATTGCATAGTCAGGTCTTTACCCCAAAGAAATGAAAGTATGTATCCATGGGAAGACACATCTGCAAGTGTTCAAAGCAGGTTTATTAAAAATAGTCAAACACAGGGCCGGGGATTTAGCTCAGTCGTTCCTCTGCCTGCCCTGCAAGCGCAAGGACCTGAGTTCGATCCTTGGTACCAAAAAAAAAAAAATAGTCAGACACCCCCAGTAATAGACAAAGAGACATCTCATTGGTGGTGTTGTTCTTGTATCAGTCAGAGGTAGAACAGATGACAGTCCTTTGTTCATCCTAGCTTGATGCCTGGGTTGGTGGCCAAAGCTGTTTCATGCCTGGGGTGCATAGAAAAATAGTCAGACATGGAAGTCACTCAGATGTAAATCACCTAGGGAGTTGACATGCATGCTGTCTCCCTACATGGAATGTTGCCCCACAATAGAAGGAAAGAAGTATAGCTTGAATCTCAAAAACGTTATGCTAAGTGACAGAGTAGTCACAAAGGACTTCTTTTTGTATATTATTAGAGAAAGAGCAAAGTACAAGAGAAATCAGTTAGGCAGTTGCCAGGGAGCAGGATGGAGGGCAGTGATGACTATAAAGGAGCACGAGGAGAGTTTCTGCAGTAGGAAAACATTTGGAACTTAACGTAGTGGAAGTTGGATGCATCATATATTTACTCACATTTAACAAATTATGCAGCTAAATTGGGTAAACTTAAATGTATATTATTAATTATTAATAAATATTATTAACTGGATAAACTTAATATTACTTAACATATAATAAAACTCTTAAAAATAAGATTTTTACTAAAATCTAAGAAAATACCCAGAGAACCCACTTTGGTGGAGTGCCCTGTGCACCCGCAGAACTGGAAACCATACAGAGGCATGTTTACAGCAGGAGTTCAATAAGGATTTCAGGACACAGTGGAAGTAATATGGGCCGGACTCAGGTCAGGGAGCACTGAAAAGAAGGTCTCCACTCTCTTGCAAGTGCCTCCGCACAGGCTGAATGTTATCCTTGCCTGCCCCCTGGAGTCCAAAATGAGTAATGCTGGTATTTTTACTTGGCAACTAAATTCAAAATACCTGTGGTTAATCTTAAACGCCGCGATTGAAGGGGAGGGAGATTTTCTGCTGGGAAAACTGGTGCTCATGGAGGGGAAGTGGATCAGAGATAGGGAAATTGAGGGCACAGGATTAGGACAGGGATAAGCCTTTTAACGACACAATGAAAATACTTTGGGAGAACAAGTAGGCAGATTGACCACAGTATGGCAGCTTTGTATAAGGAGAGAAAAAAAATAACAGTTTTTTGGGGGGAAGGGTCTAAAAAGTGTAGGGACAACAATGACTGAGATGGAAAATTAACCACATATGACAAAGAAGAGTGACGGATCGTCATGCAAAGGGAATTCTGAAATCCATGAGGACACCTCCCTGGATGGAAAGACCTTCAGGGAGCAAGGGGATGAGACACTCTCTACTAGACATGGGTGGATCTTCTAAACTCCTAATTCACTTCAAAGAAATATCTCACCAATGAAATTCTTTGCAAACTCACAATGATCATGCAGTGGTGGCCCTCACAGTGTGTGCAGATTCAGTGAAAATAATAGCAGGCTTGAGCACAAAGGCCACTGAGGACCTGCCTGGTTCTCCTGGGCAGCTCTCAAACTGCCAGGCTGAATCTCTGTCCAGAATTTCATCCTAGGGGCCTTCAGGGGCTGGTCCACAGAAGGCTGGATGTCCAGCAGCAGGTACTTCTCTTTTTGGTCCAATGAAGGCCAGGGGAGCAAGTCTTCACCATTGGGGTTCCTGTGGACACCCTCCTAGCAGAGGGAGGAGGTCAGTCTTAGACCTGCAGAAATCAGTACCCTGATTTGTGTCAGGCCAGGCAGCCAAGAAGGCCAAGGGGACCATTGATGTGGAGGAGGGGGATTACAGATATTGTAAAGAAAGGATCTCCCACTAGTGTCCCATCATATGAGAAGATCACCTGGTCCTGTTTCATCCGTCTCTCTCAGAGGCAGGCTGGCCTGAGCCATAGCATTGTGGCCCACCCTCCAGGTCAGTGAGAAAGTGACTTGTACTGACAAGGTGCCTCTCTGTCCTTGTCCAGGTAGGTCCAGGAGTAGGGAGCCTGTTATGTGATTAAAAACACATGTATGCTAATGAGGTCATAGTGGACAAATGGAGTGCCTGAAAAGCTCAAATTCCCTCAGGAGGTTGAGTAGAGGCATCATCTCACCTATTTTGAGCAAAGTTGGTCCGATACTTCATAATTCTCCTGATTAGCAGCTCTTTTTCAGTGTGTAGTTAATTGCAGATCAGAAGAGAACAAGGGTCAAGCTACTCGCCAGCTCCCATTCTGCTGAATACTTACCATCCAGCTGCTGCATACTCATCATCCAGCTGCAGCCTGACCCTGGACTCCAGCCCTGGTCCCCTCCTCCCTCACATATCCTGGAGCCAGGCCCTCCCTTTGCACTGCCTACCTTTCCTCATCCCAGCCTCTAACTAAGTCATCCTGGGGTGGCTCCTGGCCCAGAAGTCCCCTTCTTCCTATAACACTGGGTCATTCAAGAAACATTCAAATGATGCCTGTGAGATCCCCTGTGTAGCACCCACGCTGGACACTGTGGTAAGGGTGAGGTCACAGGCTGGAGTAGTTCAGATTCTAATTCTAGCACAGCCTGCACTTTTGAGCTCTAAAATGGTGTACACTGGTCCCATCTTGTATCACTTCCTTATCTGGACAGTGAGGGGAGTCACCCCTCAGGGACTCAGCTGGATCCATCCTAGCTCCTGGAGATCAAGGAAGACACATTATTACTGCAGTAGTAGGAAGATCCAAAGACAAAGAGAACCTCATCACCGTGGTCTGCTTGTACTTTGAGGGTGAGGTTGATATCTTTGAAGAACTTGGATGAATGATGGAACTCATAGAAGTAAAGAAAGAGAGCCATGGAAACATGGGGAGGCAGACAGGCTGTGCTGTGGTGGGACTTCATCTGGGGCTCTCCTGCTTTCCTGTTGGGAACAAGATATCTAGGTCCAAAGATCATTGGAAACTGGGCTGCGGGGAGTACCAGGGTAGAGCAAAGACAGTGGGGAAGGTTTCAGATAAATTATGACCTTGTACTTCCTAGGTGAGTAGTTTGTGCAACTTTCTGAGTGTTATTAAACTCAGTTTCCTCATCTGTACAATGGGGGCATGCTGTCTATCTGCTCCCTACACTAGCCATGGGGATTTACTGAGATAAGGGACATAAATGCCTGGTTTTACAGACCCAGAACAGACATGGGCGTAGACCTGAATACCACTTAACCTGCAACTCATAGCTCTGAAGCTCTGAGCAGCCCACTAGGCAGTCAGATCTCAGTTGCAGATATGCTCACACTGAAAATATGCTACTTGAAATGCAGGGTTCATGAATATGAATATCTCTTCAAACTGAGCTTTGAGAGTCTGGATCCTTGATTGTTTTCCAAGTACTCTCCATCAATAGGTCACCAAATGTAGCAGGCAACATCTAGTTGGAGTGGGGGTCAGGTTAGGCAGACTGCAGGAAGGGAGGCAGTTTAGGAGGCTTCCTTCTCCTCACTCATATACTTGTTCTTCTCTGCCTTCTATTCTCTGTCTCTGTCTTTCTCTTTCTCTCCTGCAGTCACTCTCACTCGCATTTTTGCTCTCATTGTCTTGTGCTGACCTTGAGCTCAGTGCATGCTGGTTAATGATTCTACCACTGAGCTACATATCCACTCCCCTTCCAAACTTGCAGAACTAATTTCTTCCCAACACCGGCTGACCACTATCTTATATTCCTGGGCAGGTTAGATCCCTCATCAACATGGGCAAGTGTGTGAGAAGTCCATAGGGCCAAGTTCAAAAGGTTCAGACACTCTGCATTCAGTTATGTCAGCATTTTACAGAC